GCCAGTGGAATGTGGTCGAGTCTACTTTCACCACTGATGATGTAGCAGTATCATGACAATATTCTACAAGTCAGTTTGAGGTAGTGTTCAAAAGAAGCAGAACGTCAGAAACTCGAAATGCGAATGCTGTAAAGAAGATCACAAAATGTCAAAAATTCGAGTGGTGGTCTGAATTCGCTGCAATAGAGCGAAAAAGTTGCGGAACAGCGAGAAAAGACGCCGTCTCTTTCAGGAGATCTTATCTAACAATTGACAATGAGTGGTAGTACATTTGGCTGAAGATTATAGTGATGTACTCTACTTTTCCAATTCACTCTCCTCTAATTGACACATCACTTAAAGCGAGGGATTACGATAAGATTGGACTGGGTTCATAGTGGAAGTGGAGATGCTGAATAATGCCCCAGTGGCGAAAAAAGCAAAGAAATCCGTCAAGAACGCGCAAAATGGGACCCCTTTCTTTGCCCGTTGACCTCCGATAATGGACGAGCTAGCAACCAATTAGGAGGTCGTTTGCACATGTTATGCTGATAGCCTCTATCATTTCAGCAAGCATCATGCTTTGATTGATCACGCATCCCATGAAAAGTTATAGGATACACTCTGGAAGTGGAATATCTCGTCACATTGGCAATCGAAGGGCGCTGCTGCTGGGGGCGGAGCACAGACCGTGGCGGGGCTCAGAAAGGAATGGCAAGCCTTGTACGCTGCAACTAGCGCACCTTTGACCACAAAAACGCAACATTTCGTTTCCTTGGGCCCCTGACTACTGCTTCCAATGGTGCATGTACTTCCACGCTGCATACGCACTTTATCGTAATCTCTCGCTTTAAAAAACGCGATAAGTTTAGGATCTTTTTTTTCTAGTGATTCTTTGGTGAGTAGGACAAAGCTCCACTAAAGTCTGAAAAGTGCCGCCCTGTAGGCTCGAAAGTGCGCAACATGGGTAGCAGGAGCTTTCCACACCGCTTCGACAGCTCCCGCTCTTTACCCTATCCTTCGTCGAGAGTTTCAATACCTTAGCTAGCAAAGTTGAATGAGGAATTACCCTGAGACTTTGATCCATCATTTTTGACGGGCTTGTTTCACCTTCCTTCTCTTACGATCCAGTTCACAACCCCATTTTTATTTTGTGTGCAAGAATCACACTAGTTTTGCCCTGCGGTGCCGACAACGTTGAAATTCGGCGAGCCATTTTCTGCCTTGCATCGAACATACAATAGTTTCTGCTTTTGAAAATTAAATGCGATGCGTAGTATTTCGAATACGGGAAGCCATTTTTCTTGAGTCGTGAGTGGAACTTCGCTAAATACAATGTAAGAATGTAACTTACACTTCATGGCACGTGCCCTTGCGAGACACGCTCTTCAACGTCGGCCAGAGCGCGCAGATGTAACGGAGAATGCGGAAGAGCGCCATGCATCCATGGCAAGCCGAACACCGACAAAAACACATTCAGAAGAGCCACCACGAACAGATCGAGGTTTTGCGTTGAGCCTTTCTTCAGTCTGAAACGGGATCATTCTGAAGCACTCACAACAAATAGTATTGGTGTAGATTGTAAAACATCAGGTACTGGTTCAAAATCAGTTAAATGAATTCAGAATCATAAATCAATCGCTCTAGAGAGTAAGGTGCTGGTTAGTAGAAGAACGGGAGCTACCTACTCCAAGTGTATCTTACCAGGAAATGCTTTGAACTTCCCATGGAACTTTGGAAGGAGACCTAGATGTATCGATAGAGTCTTGAACGCTGATTACAAATATGGACACTAAAACTGCTACGTGAACTTCCTAAGAAAGTTATGAGCCTTCAAAGTTGGCAAAAAACGTTACTGAGGCGAGCTTACCTGGTGGAATCACAGTCGCCGTGGCTCGCCAAAAATGAGTAAGCGTTCGTAATCAGGGCACCCATTTACCTTATAGAACAAGTTCCAGGCAAAAAGCAACCGTGTTTCCACATAGGTTGCACCTCATCATTAGCGTTCTTTTGCAACTTTTAAGGCTCACAACTTTCTTACAAAGTTCACGTAGCAGTTTTAGTGTCCATATTTGTAATCAGCGTCCAAGACTCTATCGATGTACCTAGGTCTCCTTTCAAAGTTCCATGGGAAGTCAAAACATTCCCTGGTTAGATTCCTGATTGAGTTTCATTCACTTTCGCGGTAGAAATCATACCTTTTCACTGCTAGAAGGGAAGCGAAGTGGGAAGTGATCAATCCTCTGGCAAAAGAAAAGGATAAAAGCAGCAGGATAAAAAAGGAGTTCGTCAGTCCGACTGCTCAATAAATTGCAGTTTTGTGGGGTTGCAAACTCGTGACTTTGAAAGATTCATTAGATTAATCCATACAGCAATGCCGATCCAAAAGATACGACTAACAAGGGGAGTCTTCCAAGCCGCGCTTTTTGGAAACGGTTTCTGCATATTGTAAGGACGCATGTGTTGACCACAAAACCATGTTTCGTTTTCGCTGAACGGTTTTAGCAGTTTGAGTGTAATTCGAAAGCTCGTGTTTTAGAAAACTTTACTGATGGCGTTTCGGGCCTAAGCCCTTCTTCATTATTCTTCATCTTTAGCAGTATCAAAAACGTGCTGAATGATGGTTATGCCCTTATGGTTCGATCCCCCGTGGCGACTAAATTTTGCATTTGGGTTGGCGCCTACGGTTTGGTGCCAAATCGCGCTAAATATCAAAATCAGATGTCATATTCATCGTCAGGACCATTTTGAAGCCAACAAGTGGCCGCCAACCTTGATTGCAAAATTTAGTCGCCGCGGGGGATCGAACCATCAAGGGTATATTCACCACTTTTTTGGTACTACTAAAACCGTTCAGCGAAAAAAAACATGGTTTTGTGGTCCATACATGCGTCCCTACAATATGCAAAAACCGTTTTGAAAAAGCCTGGAAGACCTCCATTGTAAGGATAGAGAGAGGCGGCTGCATCAAGAAATGCAGGACAGATCCACATTTCCTCATTGAACTAGAAAACAATTTTTCATAGGCTGACCATGTGTATTAGAATATTAGTCCACCGGCCATCCTCAGCTTCATTTCTCACAACGAATCCTCTTGGGATCAAAGTGTTAAGCCTAAGAGTGAAGGCTCCCACTCCTTTGAATTTGCACTATCCGGTCAACCCACATTTGTGGATAATCAATTCTTTACCCAGTGCAGCCATGAAACTATCTCCCTTCTACTTGGATGCATTTAGAAGTGAGGTGAGCGTACTAGTTCTACGTACTGAAAAAACAGACAACTTACTTGTTCTGAGGATTGTTCACGATGGCTGAAGTGATGTTTTGATCCATGAAAGAAAAGAAATGACAGCGAGAATCCTAGCAAAAGGCACACAAAGTAGCCAGATGGTGGCAGTGAAAAGATGTCTGCCGGTTGCATTATGGGCACTTCTACCCGCAATTTGAAGCGATCCTCTGAAAAGGTGCATTTTCATCAAATTGGCTGACAGGGAGGGATCAGAGTACGCATTGAGAGCAACTTACTAGCGATATCGGCGAAACAGTAAGATCCGGTGAAAGACATGATAAGCACCGACGCCGGTAGCGCGTAGTCCGCCAACCACTCACGGCGCGATAAAATTGCTACAGTTAACATGCATATTGAAAACACTTTTCAAGAATATTGATAGGGAAGGGTAGCGCTTATCGCGGATATACCGCGATTCCTTCGATCTATGTAGATATTTTTGCTCCGTTAACGGATGCCGTTGTTCAGGAAAATTTTCTTGATGTAATAGATTTGTTTGTCTCAATGCTTTCAAGGACATTCTTAGCATCGCTTATCTTGTTCATCTTATAGAGCAAGTGCCAACACGCACACAACTGGCATGAGCTGTGATCCACTCTTATCCACTTCCTGTTCTATACGTCTGCGCCGGATTCTTTGGTCGAGTGTGCCGTGTACTTGGCTTCTATGTCGTGACAGCATCGAACCATCACCAGAGTTGGCAATTCGTTTAGCACTTGCGCAAGAGATGAGTGCAGTAAGGCGATGCGACTCTTCTCGAAAAGGTAAAGTACGCTAGCAAACAGGAGGCGCCGAATGTGTTGTATATGGTAAGTCGGCTCGTACGGATCGAATTTCACCAGGTCAACTGAGCCTTGCATCTCTTGAGGAATGGCAAGTCGTCCGTAAGATTGTCTGTATGAATAAAAAGAATTGCTTATGCGTCGGCTAGTGCATGTTACTAGCAGGCCCCATAGTACTCAAATGTCACTATAAGGCCGATGTCAGACTTTGCGAATCGCGCGATTCGCTACTAGCGCGATTCGCTAGCGTCCGCGGTCGCGTTGCGGTACCAGCCAATTGAGTGATTCACTGGCCGCGACGCGACCGCAGACGCTAGCGAATCGCGCGATTCGCAAAGTCTGACATCGGCCTGATTCTTAACTCCTTTCACTGTAGTCTTACTGTAGCGTATACAATGCGCTCAAGCTTGCTCCAATTCCACTCATTTCCTTACGGCCTTATCAGCTTGCCATGCACACAACTTATTTCCTCAATCGTGATTAAGCGTCCAGTCGAAAAGAATGAGTTTGGATTTCCGTACTATGAGGTTCTCCACAACTACTCGACAAAATGCTCATTTCTGAAACCACAGCCTCTATCGTGATAATAAAGTGAAAGAGTGAAAGCGAACTAGGAACTTTCGAAATAGAAAATAGGGTCAAAAAGTGCACATTTCGAAACACTCAAGAAAAAGTCAGCGTACACGCGAAGATAATAGGAAGGAATCCCAGAGACATAGTTCCATGTATTCTCTCATAAAATGGAAATAATCGGCACTGGTGAGTCATTTCAGAGATGCGCCACGCACTTGAAACTCGCCCCAATTGTCACTATCGATCCAGCTACCGTACAGCGTACATCAACTACATGTGCGCTGCGCTCTTCTGATGTCAAAGTAGTTGAAAATTTGCGATTTGTCGTTTCCAGCTCGCTATACCAAAAATCTCACCGCGATGCTATTCCTAGAGTTTCTTTTATTTCTCTCAGAAATTCACGTTTCTGATTGTTTTTTTTTTCAGCTGCGGCTCCTATACAGTTATCCTTTGAGCTGAACTGCAGCAAGTGGCGCCGCTCACCACGCACATGGTCCGGATGGTCCGGAGGTGAAATCAGGGCCGAATTAGACTCTACCATCCTGGCTTTGGAAGGGTCACTCAGCCGGCTTTCCTGCTTTTTCTAGAACCCCTTTATTACCAGAATAGGAGAAAAATAGTGGACGGGTGTTCATTTCAGTCGAGTGGTGCGGTGCAGGTTTCAACTCCCGCATCAGCCAAACAATTGAGCATGACGTTTGCAGCGATAAAATTTGGACAAGCCCAGTTCCCTTATGTCAAAGCCACTAAATGGTACAAGAACACTGCAATCAAGAGTAATACCTTTCTGAAGTTATACAGAAAAAGACCGAGCCAAAGTGTTCCAAACATCAGCAACATGTACAGTATCGATGTGTCACGTCGACAAAGCACAGCAGTATCCTGGAAATTTTTGGATTAAGTAGCCAGCTCGACAGCTATGGAAAAAGACAAAAAAATCACATGCCTGTAGAGCCGCAGACGTACTGTTGAAGGTGGACAAATTGTCTCTGGCAACACTCGGTGAATCACATCCGCTGTAGTTTTTGAGGAATACTAAACGGTTAGATTGAAATGAAGTCAGTATCTTCAAAGTTCATATGACTATGGACGCTGCCGGACAGTTGACTGGCGACTATCTGATGAGTGGGGTATCGTGGGCGGGTTGGTTCAAGGATATATTGCTTGAGCTGAAGTCATTTCGCGCAAATCGGTTGCGGTGTTGCAAAATCAAGAGAAAATGCTGACTGGTAATTCGTCGTTTTGTATGGTTCACATCTCACAAAATAGGTGTCTCAAAAATTCCGACCCCGATTTCGTGGATGACCTGTGGGCTTGTTCCACGACTCATGCATGCTCCTACTTACACATCCGACGCACTATTTCGAACCTGACGACAGAAACCCCGTGAATGAGTTGGGACCACCCGCTTTCAGGCACAGGACATTCAAGTATCAATAGACTGATGAAAGGAAGCAAGAGCGTTCCGCTTAAGCTCTCTAAGCATCACTTTACAGTAGGACTTGAACACACTAAACTACCTTTTTCAAAACAAAACCTCCCTTAGATTTGAGGGAAGAGGCGAGAGTAATGAAAAATAAAAACAATTCCGCCCAAAATCAAAATGAAAATGCCATAACGTTAAATTCTTCAAAATTACTCACTATTATGTATGGCCCGTATACTTTCTACAGTGAAGGCTATCGCGATAAACAACGAGAACATTTCTTCAGCTGACCTGAAACATTTCGAAGCTTGATCGGGTATTGAGTGCTTCCACGTATCGAGTTAAACTTTAACAAAGGCCAAGATTCCTCATACAGTGAGTGGGGAGAGGGGGTGGGGGAAGAAAAAAAACTTCAATTAACCAGACTTTGCTAATGTTAAAATGATGCTTCCAATGGATGGGAGATCACAGAAGACATTGCCACGAGAACACAGTGCATGGCTCGAGCTAAATCTGCTCTTCGAGAGATCATAGACAACAAAGACCTTGTCTCAGAGGTTAGGCAACAGTGGGCCTTGCATAGTAGCTTGACGACAATCCCACCGGAAAATTGGTTGAAGGAATCAGATAGTTGTTTCAGGATGGTTATTACCATAAGCCACCTGAGTTCGAGCACAACTGCGACTGACTTGAAATTCTGGAGAAAGTGAGGGTAGCGACCAGGACTTGCTTCTGCTTATAGGGGAGCTTCTTAGCACTACGAAAAGTGTCATAAGATTAAGGACACAGGCTCTAGAAAGTTGCTTCACACGGGCTAGCTACAGAAGCTCTTATTCTCATCGCTAGATACGCAGAACGTCATGAAGTGACCCTCCCAGGTCCATTTCAGTTGGGAATTCTACTTCAATTTGCGATGCATAAATGCCTTACGCTACTCTTTTCCGAGCCACGCTCTCTTTGGACACACTCCACAGCTGCCCATGAAGAGACCTGGATCCACTTTCAAATTCACCTACCGAGTCGCCAATTTCATCAAACTGCATAGCTCAGTCGCCGAATAAAGGACGAGAAATAATTGGCAGAATAAACCGACACATGCATACATAGCGAAGAAATCATAGCCAAGTTCTTGAGAGATTTTGAAGATCACTAAAATAGTTTAATTTGAAATCATGAAGTGCTGGAATCTCTTCGAACTGACCTTTAATGTAAATGGCTAACGGTACAGTGGTGAGCAATATGATCATCGGCTGACCGCCACATAACGAGAAAAAGATGCCGCCGATCGCTTGGGCAATTATCACTTTTCGTACATCTAAAAGCAATCACTATTATGCCAGGAATGAAATATAGATTTCAAATAATAGATTAATCGGAATTACGCCGAAGGAATTTGTAATGCCTCGGAATGAAAGAGAAATAGAGGCATCTAGAGGCTGCGGAGCAACAAAGCTTCTTTTTTGATATGCGATTTCTGTGGCAGCGATTTCAAAACCTCTTAAAGGCAGAATTTGCGACTGAAATGCAGCCCAGTAGAGAAGAGGGTAGAGGTGGCCATGAGAACCATGAGAAATGGCCCAGAACCCGAGATGGGACCCCTTACCTGCCCGTTGATTCTGCATGTAATTGCGAAGCTTCCCACGACTCTCATCGGCGCTGCTCTTTTCAACGCTAACGCTATACAGATCGGTTAGAGTTTGACGGCGGTAGGGTGGGCGTGCCGAAACGCGGGTATGACCTTGCTGGGGCTGGGGGGCATACGCTTCGCTACGAAGCGCGCATGGTCCCTCACCCTCAAGGTCCCGCCTGTCTTTCGACTTCTTATATTTGCCCTTCTCGACCACCATCCTTATCGTGGAATCCTCAAAAATTACATCTTTCCTATCTGGAGGACGGGCTCGGGAGGCTGATACTCCGAATAAATACATTTTCGTTCTTCTTCCTACATCTACAATGATCAGTGACCTCGTGGAAATGGAATTCAGCGACCTTTGCTAAGATAGGACCTAGGTATATTCCGCTTCGGGAATCAGAAGTGCGTCGAGTGCAGACCACACACCACAAGTGACGATGGCCTCTACAAAATGTGTTTCTGCCAATGAAATGATTAGCGTGTTGCAGTTGTATTCTTTCAGTTGCCAAAATTATATTACCATTTATCAGCTATCACTGCTAATCACTAGCTATAAGATTTACTTGGAGCCGTCGTAACTTGTGGTGTGTTCTTCACTGGACGCGCTTCCGGTTTTTTGGAGCAGATGGTACCTACTTACATTATGCCAACAACCTTTACCCCATGACCTTTTTTCGCGGCCGGTTCAATTCGCCGAGCAGGTATAATAATACAACAGATGTTATTCACCATTTGGGCACGAACTCATAACTTCGTAAAGAACGAAATGTGACAAAGACCATCGTTTTATCAAAACGAAATCCATTATCAGTACAGAGAGGTAGCCAGTTTTTTTGCGAGCTGCAATGACATGAAGAGGACACGCTCCCAATCATAGTAACTGGAAGGTCCACCAAACCAGACAAAAAGGCAACTCTTTCAATTGCTCGAAGAAATCAACAATAATGCGGCAGGTGGTACGGATCGTAGATAAGACGCTGTGTAACGTTAGTTTAAAGTTTTTAATACTTTACTATTCTTACTGATGCTTCCATTCGTGTTGTCGTCGTTGAGCACTCCAAAGGCAATCGCTGGCAGAAGACATGCGAAGTAGAGGAAGACTACTGTCGAGAAAAGCTTTTGCATCGTTCGATGGCCAGTGACGCCGTCGATGAAATCGGACGGATAGACAGCCAGTCGTCGTTTGAACTCCTCTGATAGACCGCGAAACGGATACCATGCATTTGGACCGAACTGAAAACGCAATTTGAGGAAATCAAATTACTCGAATAGAATGACTTTGCCACAAATAGCAGCGAATTGTCATTGTAAGAAAAGGTTGGTTTGATATCTGAGGGGTAGATAAAACAAAGAATTCCTTGAAAGGTTAAAGGGGCAGTCGCATTCAAATTGGACGTTTTGAGAGAATAGAGATTAACCAGGAACACTATATGCGCATACCACTACTGTCGAGAAAAGCTTTTGCATCGTTCGATGGCCAGTGACGCCGTCGATGAAATCGGACGGATAGACAGCCAGTCGTCGTTTGAACTCCTCTGATAGACCGCGAAACGGATACCATGCATTTGGACCAAACTGAAAACGCAATTTGAGAAAATCAAATAACTCAAAAAGAATGACTTTTGCCACAAATAGCAGCGAATTGTCATTGTAAGAAAAGGGTAGTTTGATATCTGAGGGGTAGATAAAACAAAGAATTCCTTGAAAGGTTAAAGGGGCAGTCGCATTCAAATTGGACGTTTTGAGAGAAAATAGAGATTAGCCAGGAACACTATATG